TTTAAATCAAAAATAACTATATCCGTTGAAACATGAGCCATGCCATGCATTTATTCTAATACATCGCACGGTTCATGTAAGAAAGGATATTGTTCCTTTTCATTGAAATATGTCCGACGGAGTTCGAATGAGCGAGAATATTTTTTGCATCGAGCGGATGCAAAGTTCGAGAACTGTTAGATCCGAACACGTGGCTTCCGAGCCTGAAGTGAATGGCTAATGCTGCCGAGGTATTATTGGACCGCTTCCACGAGAAGAACGTGCTCAAATGAATAGAATGTTGTCCTGTTGCCAATTTTATTGTTATCAGAGCCTCGCATTTTACGTTGAAAAATAAAGAAATGAAAAAAAAAAAACAAAAAACTCATGCGATATGATCTGTAAAAAAGATCGTTCAGTCAGTTTCATAATGCTCAAAAGAGTTAAACATGTGATTTTTGGCCAAAATAAAAATTTACGTTTCTTTTTACTCAAATGATTAAAGAACTATATAAGCCAGGTCGAACCTATAAAATCAATTTAAAACCACCCTAGATCGAGTAAAAGCGGGTTTTAAGTAAGACTCTCACCCGTGCATTGTAAATTTCGACTTGCTTCTCTAAACATTTTCCTTTTTCCTTTTTTAAAAACATTTTAAAAAACTCTTTTGAAAACACCTCGGGCTAACATTTAACTGGTAGAATCTCACGTAAACAAGTATGCCTGCGGCCTCATCCTGGCGGCCATCCATTTACTTCATCTGGCAACAAAACAGATGCATACACCATAACCCGTGTTGCGGCGCCAAAACGTGACTAATTTTTGACAGCGTGGAATGTGACCCATGTAATTATTTGCTTCCATGTTAACGCTGAGGATAGTTTATTTTGTCTCCAGTTCAATCTGACGTTATAACTTTAAGATAAACATCAAAGAGCCTCTCTTAAAATTGTTAGTAGAGATTTATCATGACCCTTCTCGTCTTGTTGCCAAGTTGGATAATAGAGTAAATTTCAAGAATATATTGAGAATTTCTTTTTTCCAATAGATGAGGAAAGTGGAATAAGTAATGGACGTAGATATATGATACTGACAAGTGTTCTTCAATTATTCGAGTGCTATAAATTGACGATTCATGTGAATAAGTCATATCACTGCATTCTGACAGTTTTGGCCGGCAATTTTTTTCAGATATTATTTCAAAAGTTGGAGACTAGAAAATCCATGAAAGCCTGAAATTATTTGACCAATTAAGAGCGAGCCTTATGTTTGTGTTGAAAAGGTTGAGATGCAATACCGTGTTTCTCTAATCACTCTGTTATCCGGATGCTGCAACTAACGACACATTCGATGTATTTCTGCGGAGGTGAGAAAAGCGAAAGTGCCTTCAATTTTGAGCATGCCACCCGCATATCCGTAGGACACGAATAGTTGCATCAAGGCGCTACAGTCAACTCAGTCTTGTCTTTGTAAAGTGGAAACGCCTCCAATTTTTGAATATACAACCATGCTACTGAAAATACGAGCAAAATTAAAAAAAAACTTTGAATTAAGAACTTTTGAGAAAAATAAATCGTACAATTTATGTACATTATTTGTAAATTGTTTTGACACGCGATTTGCGTTCAAAATCTCGCAAATAATGCATCAGGAGTTTGTCCATGGGGGACACTCACCGCTTTGCGTATGGATTCCTCTTAACATTAACGACCTGCCGTTTTTTCGACGTAATTTTCAGACTTTTGACCGGCGAATTCGCGGACTGGCATTCACACATACATAACATAAAAGCACAAATAATTACAAATTAACAAAAAAGATTTGTGAAAAGATCCTTGTTCCTTGTAAAAAATAGTTTCTCAAACCGTTCATTTTAACAATGTTCTTATAGTTCTTTGAAAGTCAAAATGTGACCATTAGCACTACTCGGGTAATTTACCATCATTCGGACAGGCTTTCCCTTCTCGCAAAAACCCGTGCGATGTTTCGTTTTCCACCGAACATAGATGGTATACATTTCAACAAGGTGAGTTGTTGGATGTTGGCACGGCACCCCGACTGGCGCCCGGTGTATAGCCGCCGTTCAGCAAACGAATCAACTTAAAGCAAATTTCGAATGAACCCTGAGTCCACTTGGCGCACATTCCTAACATGGCTCAATTAAGAGAAGAGGTTTGCTCTTTATTGAGCGGTTTGATGTGGTGTGGTGTGCGGTGGGAGCTGAACATTTGAACACCCATCATCGGCCGACACTCCCACTTGCTTCACCTTTGCTCCTCCGCGATGCGCTCCAGCATCGACGATCGCTCCACTGCTCCGAGGTAGCGTGCAAACAGAATTAGAGCTAGGCGCCCCGCCCAATCGAACCTTTTTTCGCGGAGAGTAAGGCTTCTAGACCCCATGGCGCACGGGTATAAGGATGTCAAAATGGCAGATACGCACGCAAAGATTTTCATAGGTTAGAATGACTCAAACTTGATTTAGATCGACTCACAATCAGATCTGATTGGAGAATCTGCACACATAAATTGCATTGCTTCATCTTAGAGAGCTCTTTGAGCTGAATTTACAGTATTTATCAAACATTTTTTCTGCAATGGGATATTGTAGAGACACAGATTTAAAAGTGAAAAATTGTACCACCATGTGACGTCATCTGGCGGCATTTCCCACTTGAGGGGCCTGGAGGACTAGGCGTATAAGTGCAGTGTTTGCTATTTCGAGAAATACGTTGGAAGTTTCGAAATTGCATGGATCCGTATGGAAAGAAAGTTCAAACTGACTTTTTGATGCTTAAAAATTAGAATTCGGGAGCGAAGTTTTCACAGAATATGCATTAAGACTAGTTCTATTTGAAATCATTATTATCTTAATTTTTTTCAAAAACTGCTCTCAAGCGCCTTGCTCTCCAAGCTCCTCAATGAAAAATTTGCACCAAAAAATTAGGAATTATTTGCGCTATGATTTTTGGATGACAATTTTCTACTCAAGTGCATCGAAGATATCAATTTTGAGTTAGGTGATACTGTGTCCCCTTTTTCTGCGAACAGTCAAATATACCGGAGGGACCATTTCAGTTCTATTGGAGGCAACCTTTAGCTGAGAACCACCGGTGCGCAACAATATTACTTCCAAGTAAAAGTTACCTAATTGTCCAAGTATAAAAATTATTATCCTAGAATTAAGCTTAAGATTCAAAAATTTTCGATACAAATTTCATCAAGGCAAAGGCAGCGATGATGGACTGGAGACGATGGTCTTCCACATTGAGGAACATCACACATATTATTAAAACCAATGCCGCGTATATGTAGGATGCACCTGGGTGATAGGGTTCCAAAAATTTGGCATTTTCTTGCTTCAAGTTTCAAATTCAGCCGTAATATTTGATGCTCCGCTGGCAAAATTAAACACCATAGCACAGGAGAAAACAAGCGAGCTCCTAATGCACAGATCGACTCACTTGACCGCACGAGTTACCATGGCCCCAAGTGCAAAATACGAGTGCGGCCGACCTTATAAAGAAAGCGAGCCACTTGCCATGACGCCCCCTCATCTCGTCTCCCTTCAGATGAAAGGGCGTATGTCAATTTCCATATGAGCCCTGTTTTACATGTAAATACATACTCTGTGGGGCTCATGCGGAAATCAAGATACGCTCTTACGTCAGAGGAACGACGATTTGTTCGCCGGGCTAACGAAAAGCCCCCCGAATTTCGTTCACCCTATCTCGCTGCACAACTAATGAACCCCTTGCGCAAACCGCAAAGAGGTCAGCTAAAATAGTTGTAATATTTCGGGGGGCTCCGCTCGTAAACGCCAAATGACCAGATGCCACGATTTTTCGGGTGCCCGCTTGCGAGTTTAACAGCTCCCGCACGATACGTATCGTTGTTGCCAAATTTAAAACGAAAATCTGAAATTTCTATGTTGTGTTTGGCGAAAAAAGGGGGATAATGGGCATTATGTGGCACCTCTGCGAGGGGTATAGTCCGCGATGCGCTGGCCGAAAAATGTCTTCGGGCTGGATCAGACTGCAACTGATTTTGAGAGTCGTGAGACGGACTTAATGAAATCATCTTTTTTACTGGATTTCGAGAGGTTAGCGAACGGTTGCCAAATTTGAGAAAAGATTGCATCCGTGAAAAAAGAAATGATAACGAGTTAATGGGCAGATTGTTAAAGTTCGGCTCGACGGTTTGTTGAGACAGGTCCTCGTGCGCGTCGCAAAGTTCATCGTCAATACCCTCATTTCTCCGGATACTTAACTTTAATCTCACTTAATAGAAAAGCTTTTAAAGAATTGTGTCATCCTCCAAGTTAATGATAACAATTTCTGTTTCCAAACTTGTACACATTTTAAAGGCGCATCTATTTCACCACTAAATTTTACCATCTGCGCGGCATAGAACAGCATTAAGGATAATTTTTAAAGATTTCCGTGAACTTCAACAGATTTACTTCGTAAAGAAATTATTTGAAGGGAGGGAAAGATTCATCACCAGAAAAAAATACAAATAAGAGGAAAATCTTAAGAAAAGCAGGGATTGAAAATTTAAAGTAGATTCCGACCTTAAAATTTGTTAAAATCGTAGAGTTTTCCGTTTGTATCACGCGTGCATATTTGCATCATTACCATAATCTCAATGACCCCATCAATTTTCATTTTTGTCACAGTTCTTTCACAAATATACTGATTTTGAGTAAATTTATACGATGTCAGCGGCTGTCGGGGGATAGTCTGTAGATGAGCCCGCTCTATTTATTCTATGTCATGCGGGCCCGCGTAGCGACCGGGGTATACCGGGTATACCCTCTGGTATTTCTACAGCGAATGTTCCCTAACGCCACTCTATCTCAAGTGCTTTACATATCACTTATAAGATCTCTTAAATGTATTACACCGAATTTTTCTTACTGTGCAAAATTAGGATACGGCTTGAATTTTTCATTTAGCCCTTAATATTCCAAGACATACCTCTGGCGGTACTAACTGAATTTTGTGTATTCGTTTGTTTCAGATCTTAGCACTTACGTGCGTCATAGCACTAAGCACAGCTGAGCCCCCAGCCAACACATACCTGCCCCCAGACCAGGGATACAGCTACCCCCGGCCAGACCAAACCTTCCCTTCACCCTCGACGCCCTCATACCGACCCCCATCACCATCCCCCTCGATACCTTCCTACAGGCCGCCCTCGCCAGCACCTCCCCCGAGGCCATCCTACGGCCCCCCACTACCCTCCCCATCAGCTCGTCCCCCAACCCCCGTTTACACCCCGTCCCCCACGTACGGAACACCCTCCACGTTCGGAACTCCCCCACCGTACAAACCGGCCCCCAGCTACGGGCCACCCACTGGTTCCTACCCTTCACCCTCACCCTCTTACCCCTCCCCATCGCCTTCCTACCCCTCACCGTCGCCCACTTATGGAACACCTACCGGACCCTACAGGCCCCCAGCGCCCACTGGTCCATCTTACGGTGGTGGCGATTCTGGCAGTCATGATGAGGTAAGCTTACATTTCTTTTCTCCGTCGGGCTGATTACTGAAATCCATAGGTAGTCACAGCTATAAACAAGGGGATGTCAAAGGGAAAAGTGAGCGATTCTATTGGTTGAAATGGATGGTTGATTTAACTAATGGAAAAATGATAGACTAACCCTTAAGCCCCTCTTGAGAGTACCTTATGTCTTGTAGAATCAAAAATCAGAAAATCGTTTTATCATTTATTTTATCGATATACAATCTTCCTAACACTTTTCAAACGTTCAACTTAAAATCTTCACCAGAAGTACGAATTAAGAAGAATCGGGGGCGGAGGCTTAGGAATCACTCCTCCCCTCCCTGAAATGTATGAAGTTTGGCCTCTAGGTAATTTCGGTCACTTTTATGACATTATCAAAACTCCTCAGGGTTCCTCGCCTACTCCTCCCACGTGGATTTCGCATCATTCCATTAACATTTAGACTACATTTTACAATAATTAGGAGCTACAATTTCCGGCTCAATTTAGAAGCAACGTATGTGACATTGTGTCATTGGTTTCCTCAGGCACATACATGTTTTCACAGATGAGCCAGAAAAATGAACTCTATACTCGTTCCACTTAAGATCCAGCTGAAATGGCACCCCTGTCTACTAATTCGCGATTCTATAAGGAGATTTGCAATATTATATCATAACAAAATTACGAGCGAATTTTGATTCACTCAGAGACTAATTGAGCAAATATTTGAGCATGTCCAGCGTCGCTTACATCAGTATCGTGCCGCCTGGGCTCTTCCGTGTTTTCACCGGTGAACTGGAGTGCAAACTCGTCATGAATAGGGCGGAGGCCCTGGTGATTCTTTTCTAACAATACCGTTCCGATATTACGTCATATTTGTTCCCCTCACCGTGGCTCTTTTATTGAAGTGAGCTTACACGCAGCCGGGCACTGTATATCGGTTAGTAAGTCAAATATTACATGAACGAAAATTCATGTCAGTGTGGTCGGGTAAGATTAAATGGTTTTTCGTTTATACGTCCTACATTTGTTCATTGCCGGAGACCTTGCAAAAAAATTAAAACTTTGAAAGATGTAGCTTCGATCAATTTTCACCGCCTCGAATAGTAGGGCACAGGATCTAAATTGAGAGGCTTGGAGGACGAGGCGCATTGGTGAAGTTTTGCTGGTTCGAGAAATATTTTTTTGAAGTTTCGAAATTGCATGGATCCTTATGGCATAGAGAAAGTTCAAACAAACTTTTCGGAGCTTAAAAATTTGAATTCGGGAGCGATTTTTTCACAGTTAAAACTAGTTTCACCTGAAATCATTGATATCTCAATTTTTCAAAAACTGCAATAATTCGTCTTGTCCCACAAGCCCCTTACTTGAACTGCATTTTGCAATAATTAGGGACTAAAATTTCAGGCTCAAGGATGATAACAACTATCTGCGTAAGGGAACTAATGGCACATGAGCTGATTCTAAAATAAGCCAGAAAATCCAGCTCCTAATTGCAAAATGTGGCCCATTTAAGCCTGCCTACTCTTGTTTCTTGGCTTCTTTTCGTTTAATTGTTAAGAGCATTTCATGAGTGCGTCGTGTTATAGTTTCTGAATAATCGGCAACAAAAAGCAACACAAAATAAAACAAACAAAAAATACTGCTGGTGATAAAGAGAAGCATATGTCTTGATTTCGAAGTTTCGAAATCGCATCTTTTCTTTGGAAAATTAATGGATTTTACTGTCCTCAAAATATCTCGTTTAGAATACCAAAAAAGAAATAAAAGAGAAAGAATAGTGAATTTTCGCAGAAATTTTATTCATCATAATTTTTTTTAATTTATAGACTTTTCCATTAAAATAAGCCATCCGCAAGCGAATCAGATCCAGGCACGTATTTCCAACTCTTTCCATCGACATGAGATAATGTTGCAAGGTTGAAGAAATACAAATTTCTTAACATAGACACCTACTGATTTCGCAAATGCATAGTATGAGCTTCAAACATGATACCCGTGCGTCAAATGCATTCTCCGACTCTTAGAAATATCTTAAAGCCCCTTAATGGCTGCAACCAGCACTACTCGTTGAAGCATTAACCACTCGCGTATGTATGACACGTCGCGACGCGAGGCACCTGCACGGCTCAGCGCGTGGCCACCTCAAGTTCACATCCCAATCTGTTGCCAAATCATGCAGAAAAACATAAGATTTGTGCTATTTTCTGCCTAAAAAGCAAAGGGTAGGTGCGTTAAATCTTTCATAACTGCTCTAGATCAATAATACAAGCTCATACAAAGTTCTTATAAAACATACTGTAACGGCAAGTAAAGTTTTTTTATCCATCCGGCAACAACTAAGTGTGACAGCGTCTCGAATAAGCTTCGAATTAGCCGAACAAGTCGTGCCCTTAACCCTATGCCCCTGCCCTGTAAAGCTCCACAGCTCTTTGCATGTGTGACAGATTAATTATTCGGTCGTGTTGAGATCTTGTCAGTCTCAAATGATTTAATTAACACCAATAGGTCGTAAGCACCTTGTCATGATTCATTTGATCTCCCCGCCTGATGTTTGTCTTGTGCCTCTCGTACGTTAGACGAACTTCACTGATTCAACGCTGAACATGCGTTTATGCGTAAATCATAAGGCTTACAACTTTTGATATGTTGTATGCTCCGCAACCCGTGACAAAGATATACAATAATAACAAATTACACAGCGGACAACAAGGCTGATTTTCATGTAAATATCACCAAAACGTCTCGTCTGAAAACTCAGCCTTCTTCGGTTGGATTATTTTTCTTGCTTTGGAAGGAACAGACAAGTATTTCATTTTTATATTTTTACAGTTTTTTACTGTTTCTTATCCAACTGAGGAAGGCTGAGTTTTCAGCCGAAACGTTTTTGTGATATTTACATGAAAGTTTAGCCTTGTTACTCGCTGTGTAATTTGTTATTATTCCTTAAAAATTAAAAAGCCCAGAAATAGGATAGCGAAAGAAAATAACTAAAACACCCGTGAAGCAAGATTGCGTGGTTTCCATTACACTCGATGAATAAAAGAAACCGTAAAATAATTAAAATTTCGAAAATCAAATTAATGAAATAACATGTTGCAGAGTGGCATTTACTAGTATTTTGTTGCTCATTCAGTTTTTGTCTTCAAAAAATTCAATCACCTTTAATATGCGAACCTTTTTAAATACTCAAAAGTTGCCCATCTGCTTCCGTTTAAGTCAAAATGTTCGATTTTACTGTTTGCTCGGAACAAATACATTCCACTACGCAAACAGAATCCTGACTGATAAACGCATCTTCAGAGCTTTCTTCAACAGCACAATGAACGAAAGGAAACGGAATGATGTAAGAGGATGTATACCGTTCCAAAAAATGACGCAGCGTGTTTCAAGCGATGCTACGTTTTGGGGAATGCCCTCGGGAATGTCGAAGCTGCGGTAGCCAAATCCATTAATTCAAGACTGTTGACCTAGTACGTATTGTCCTGGTGTTTGCACGCACTTCTCTTTTAGAAGGTTATAAAGACAAAAAAAATCGTCCCTAAATCCTATGTTGGCCCTGTGTCCTTCATAAATGTAGATAAGACATTGGAATTCAGAATTGTGTATCTTACTAAACGATGTCTTACATTAATATAGCTCGCGTCTTTCCGGTAAAATGGCTGTCATCATCAATATGATGTAAAGTGATATGATACATAGAGTACTATTTCCGCAAACAAAATTTCATTTCAACGAAATATGATGGTATGCAAAAAGTTGCATTAAACATGATTTCAATGATGCATTGCTGCCTTTCCAAATATAAGTTTTAATGAGAGGGATTTTATTCTTCGTCTGTTCATAACCTGTCGCATAGTTTGATTCAAAATTTAACTGAAATTCGAATGTAAAATTCAATGAGCTCAAACATTTGTGTTTTACGCCATTGTATTTTGTCAGACTTAATTGCAAACAATTACACAAAGGTCCAATTTGGCAACATCTTTCATATCTCTTACGTATCATGCGTTAAAGTTGACTATTAACGCGTGATTTTTGCCTGGTCATCATCTTCGGGATGGTTTTCTCATATCGGTGCGGTTGCAACTGGCACGGAAACAGAAACTTCAGCGTTGAGGAGACTGACGAATCATAGTGTAAGCTCTGTTAGCACTATCATAGCTGCGGTCAGGTAACGCATCTGTGTTTAATTGTGTGCTCTGTAATTACAACTTTGTTTCTGAACAGGTGGTTTTCTAATTCGGGACACTTCGGCTGCGTTTGGTCAAAAGACATCAAGATTCTTATATCAGCAAGGAGATTAGAGTGTTTAAAATTCGAATTACTAACTCTTAGACAAAGTTGAATGAGGTCCACGTACTATATGATTTGAACCGATCATTCGTATGGTTATCTATTTGTTGAGTTTTTGAACGGATGAAAAACTCTTAGTTTTTCAAAAATGATCCTTGGACCGAATAAAATGTTTACCGAAAATTTAATACAAATATTTTGTTAGGATTGTGAGGAGTATATAATTTTACAAGGTTCGAGAGTGTGTACCGCGCAACCTTCTTGTCTTTAAATAGTTTAAAATGTTCGCACTTTTTGCTATCCCTGCGTTTAAGTCTCCGGTAAAACGTACGTCAAACCGAAGGCGTGGCGTGCTTTGCGATCTATCAATATTTCCCCTTTTGAAGCTGTGGTAAATAATCGATTATTAACGTGTTCGAAGCGAACACCTTAATAATCGATACTTTTCCATGAGTTTAAGTGGCCGATCAATCGATTTATCGCAAAGCACGCCACGCCACTGCGTCAAACCTACATATCGACGGTGAAACTACCAAACCACGTATCTCGTTTGCAGTGTTTAAAAATCTACGCTCACATTTTATTTTTTTGAAGTAGACCAAATCAATATCATTCCTTGAAATTTTCACGGAATTTTCTCCGCACAAAGAGGAAAAATCACAGAAATTTTCAAGACTGGATGTTAAGTAGTTTTTCATTTAAAAAAT